CAAAAAACTCCCCGAAAGCTGGACCACCAGCGGTAGCTGCCGTGCTGCTCAGGCAGTATGGATTTTCACAATGAGATTTTTTGTGTTTTAGGGGGAGGAAGGGCTGCAGCATGACAAGTGCTCTTCTGTAATTAGTGATGTGCCTGTCTACAACCAGAGTCCTGGGCTGAAGAGCACACAAATTACACTCACACAGGGAGCTGGGGAACAGGAGTGGTGGGTAACAGGATATTTCTTTAGAGACCCATATGATGCCACATTACTCTGTGTCCCTCCATCCCAGAAAAAATAGGTCTGGAGCAACTGAAACTAATGAAGCTTGGCCTCCAACAAGCCAGTCTGTCTTCATTAGAGGCAAATGTGTGATGCCCTTACTGGGGCCTCTCCTCCCTCCTGCCACCTTGTTTTATGGGACCTGCAGGAATGCAATTAGGGCAGAGATGTTTCCTCCTTTGTCAAACTGCCTGGCAGGCAGCCAAGGAGTTCAAAAGCCTGTGGGCTGTGCAGCCAGCTGCCCCTTCCCCAGCCCAGCTGCAGGCAGGAGGGATTTCTGCCCCTCTCCCATAGCCACCCCACATTTCAGAGTAGAGGGAACAGAGTGGTGTGTCAAAGATCTCAATGCAAAAAGGCAACCTCTCCACCCAAAGAAAAACTGGGAGTAAAGAAGCATTTGAGGGTTTGGGAAGCCTCTGCCTTTGTCAGAGCACAGTGCTGCAGATAACACAGGTTCATTTCTTTGGTGAGAACAGAATACTTGTGTACCCATCCCCTATGGCCCCTCCAGAAGCTGGATTAATGGTTTGAAACAGCTACTCCAGAGCTGTTACATGGGCTTGGGGAGCAGCAGAACAAATACCACTTAGTGACTAAGTGACATGGATTCTGATTTGGATGCAACTTGAATTAACATTTACTCCACAATATAAATTACTCCCTTTTCCCACTTCCCTCACAGATGCAGGAGGCATGTTAAACCTCCCACTAACAAGAATTAAATCTTGCTGCTTCCTTAGATTATTTCTCACCCAAAATCTGCTTCTCCACTTCATGAGGGGGACTACAAAAGGACTGGAGCCATAGGCAGCACTGTCTGCAGGCATCTCTCCTCTCAAATGCTGACAAAAATGAGGCTCCAATATTTATAAATGGACCCAGGAATTAATGGGTTTTTTCCTAGCCAAAGGACCAAATGCCAAGAGACAAGAAACAAGTTCATTTCAGAGTATTTCAACCCCACTTGGCTTCTGCTGGGAATACAGGAAGCCTGAGCATAACATGCCACCCATCCCTGTGTCATGGCAGTGACTCAATGGGGACAGCTTTACTAGAGATCATAAAAGGAAGAAATGCCTGCACAGTTTGGTGATGGGCTCATGCCACAGCCATGTAGGTGCAAAGCAGTTTGCCTGAGTGGATTTTTACTTCTCAGCTCAGAAATCTGTGCTCTCCTCCTGGTGCTCCCCAAAACCTCAGCTCAAGTTTGACTGGCTTTTTTCTCAACAGCTCTGTCTGGGCTGGGCACTCCAGGTTCATGGGATCACCTTGCTCAACAGCTGGGGCAGGTGATGGGCATTTGGTGGGGGACACCACAGCCTGTGTGCTAAACCTGAGGTTGGGCTCCACTGTTCAAAGCACAGTCAGTCATCAGAAATGCACTGAGGCAGTGACTGCCTTCTATGCAACCAGAGGATTCAAACAGTGTAAATAAAACCCTTGACAGCAGTGATGAGTTTCCCTCATGGGTCCAAGCCAAGAAACTCCCAAGCAAGGACAGAGACAACAATCTGCAGCAAAATCACAGCTCCCTACACTCTGCTTTTTTGGTTTGTGCTTTAGCTAAAACCTGTTGGTGTGCCCCTGCACTCCCCCCAGAGAGTGACAGGCACAGGGATGACAGAGCCTTTCAGGGACAGACACTGTGCCCAGGAAAAGGCAGAGTGAGGGCAGGGTGTCATTTCACCCCCCAGCAGGAACAGAAACAGCAACCAGCCACCATAGCAACTGCCCTGAGAATCAATCTGCTTCCAAGGCATCACCCAAGCTCTTCTGGCTTCCAAGTCTACGTGTGCTGGTAGATGGATGTTCAGTGCTGAGCTAAACACCTGGTCTTTTCTAAGAAGACCTCATTTGTAGGGGGGAGAGAGCGTGGTCTGCTGGAAGCCCCCAGCAATGTTTGTGTAGCAGAGGGCTGTTTGTTAGGGGCAGCCTTGGGCATAGCCCTGCCATGCAGGCTTGTGGTGGGCTGGGAAATCCCAAGCCTCTTGGCCTGACAAAACCACCTCAAAATGCTATGTCACTGGCACAGCGCTTGCTACAATTCAGATTTAGCATCACAGCTGCTGGAATTTATGGGAAAAAAAAAAGAAAAAAAAAAAGCCAACAGACCACCTCATGCAGCCATGCCAGACTCCATCCCATCTCTCAAGCAAAGAGCTTGCTTGGCCTCAGCCTACCCTTTGTTTTCTTTCATAGCTATAAAAAGGAGTTTTAAATTACTTTTAAAAACTTCAGCAAATCCCAAACCAGCTATGATGTGCTTCCCAGCACCAGACATCCTCCACAGGGACAGAGGCAAGCAGGTGCAACCAAAGATGCATAACTGGCTTTCCTGGGGAGCAGCAGAGCTCTAGCCCTCCTGCTGCAAAGGAAATTTGAGCAGAGGTGTGTTCTAGCAGCAACTGCTACACCAGTAACTTACAACCTGTCTTTATAGCATTGATGTCCTGCTTGCTTTTAAATACACTCCTTTTGGGTGGGATGATGCTTTCAAAGCTATGTGGTCTTCTGGAGAACTCCCAGGCAGTAGTGCTCCTAATGACTTCACAGTTGAGTTTAATTTTTCCCCTGTCTACCTTCAAACACTTTTTTTGTGCTTGCTCACCCATCTTTCCACTCATGCATCAGCAGGGAGAGCCCCACACACCCCCCAGTCCAGGCACTGTCAAGGTGGAACTGGCCTTTCCCACTGGATCCCAGCAGGGATCTGCAGGGCAATTCCAAACCCAGAGTATTGCCTGCCTCATCATCAGCAGTGACAAAATCACTAGCCAGGCTACAGGAAAATTAACACAAACATCCTCTATCCGCCTAACAACACAATCACCTCAAACAGTCTGAAACTTGCAATCAAAGCTTACAGCCCCACTCTGAAACATGCAGGGCAAGATAAACAGCAGTGGAAAAAACACCACTTCCCTGGAGAAAACATAAAAAGTAACTATTTTTTCCAAGTTTACATTTGTTTGGAATTTTTGTCCAAGGTTTTCAGCTACGGAAATATTTTAGTTGCTTGCAAGCAGGCAAATTTTAAAGAACAGCCTTTGCCCTGATCCAACTGAGGGAATTATGTCCGAGGGCTAATCCAGGCAATTATGTTCAAGGTAAATTATTTGACCTTGGACTGATGAGGTTTTAAAACCATTTCAGCAAACACAGCTAAATAACTTGTCTACCTTTGTTTAAGCAAAGCTGACTGGCTGCAGCTTTCCCAGTGAATGACTTGTTTTCCCAGTGGGAGAAAAATCCATACATAAAACAGCTTTAGGAGTCTTTAATACAGCTTTTCTCTAATAAGTAACAGCCTGAAACACAATCTTTCCTTTCACCTGTGACGCACCAGGGGATTACACCAAATACTTCATCTTTAAAAGAAGATTGTTTCTGCCTAGGCAGCGAAGGATGGCACACGTAGGAAAAATCCAACTTATGACAACACCAAAAAAGCCTCAAGGGATTCAAGCCAGTGCTGGCTTACTCTTTCCTACGGAAATACATCAGTGTGCAAGAGATGTGCAGAGTTACATCAAAATAACACCTCTGCTCATCTCTGCGGGATGCAGGCAGCAGACAAACCTGCAGGGAGACAGCTTTTGACTTTGACTCCCCTGCTCCTGCCAAAGCTGGGAGCCCAGGATCAACCACCAGACTGACTCTGCTTTCTTGGGGGTTCAAGTTTTGCTGTAGGAACAAGGAGATACAGGGATTGCTTCTACCCACCCACCCAAGACCAAGTAAATTCAGTTTAAAAAGCAAGGCCACCTCCCTGTTTAACACCTCACATGATCCTTATTTGGTGGGCTAAAACTCCAGTTGACTGGAAACCCAGTTCTGATGAGGACAATGCAGTTTTTGCTCTTAACTGTGGAAGCCTCTAAACCTCTCCCTCCTCGTTCCCATAAGAAAGGGAGCACAGACTCCCCCAGAAACACGACAGATTCCCGGCACACTCCAGCCCCGTTTTGGGTCAGCTCTCGCACTGCCACCACACGGACTAAACCCTGGCAGATTAGGGCCCAGTGCCAGCATGATCCTCTTTGTGGAAACTTCCCTAGCAGGAGTCAAATTTCCTGAAAGCAATGGGACAGAAAGCAGCTGAAAAGAGGGTGTGGCGGTACATGACCTCACAATCCTGTGGTATCTCTGCCTGTGCAGCACCTTGACACTCAGGGTGCCCCTAAAATGGAGCGGTGCCAGTGCCAGCTCCCTGCTGCCCTCACAGCCAGACCCTTTATGGCACAAGCTGCTTCTGCCTGTGCAGGTACCTTGACACTCAGGCTGCCAGTGCCAGCTCCCTGCTGCCCTCACGGCCAGACCCTTTATGGCACAAGCTGCAGCAGCTGGAGCCATTCCCCTGCTCCTGCCAAAGCTGGGAGCCCAGGATCAACCACCAGACTGACTCTGCTTCTTTGGGGGTTCAAGTTTTGCTGTAGGAACAAGGAGCTACAGGGATTGCTTCTACCCACCTATCCAAGACCAAGTAAATTCAGTTTAAAAAGCAAGGCCACCTCCCTGTTTAACACCTCACATGATCCTTATTTGGTGGGGTAAAACTCCAGCTACTGTTGACTCTTTCAAACTATTTTTATATGCCACAGCACTGAGAGCTCTGGTATGTTTGCAGAGTCACTCTTCTCAAATAAGGCAATCAGGCTGCTAATGAGCCCACACCCATGGCCTCGGACAGCAAAAGTCTGAAGAAAGGCAGGAGATTCCCCACCAACCTGAGCGCTCTTGCCCTAGCCTTGCAGCCCAGCAACTCATTTATCTGCAACAACACTCAATTTAAACAAGCAAAGCTTAGCTTCACTGCTTTTTCAAAAGCACAGGATGGATTATGCCATGTTAACATTTATTTCAGCCTGTGCTGCCATCCAATAACCTAGGAATTGAACACAGGAGAGAAGGGCTGCTGCCTATGGAATTTCACAGGTGAGAGTGGGATGTGAATATCTGTGAATAAGGGAAAAAAGTCCATTTTTGACTATTTCATCCTGCTGCCTGATCCGGACCTTTAGCTCAGTACTGTAGACAGGATGCTTGTAGTCCCTCTTTCCTCACAGTTCACCTTGGACTGACCTGCACCACCCAGAACTACCATATCATCATGAGGAAAGCAGAGGAAAATGAGCAAAACGGTGTTTTATTGCCCAGGACCATCATCAATGGAGGGAAGCAGGTGAAAGAGCCTCTCCAGGGCACAGATTAAAAGGCAGACTCACCGTATCTCCAATTTTGAGGTCCCCACACTTCCTGAGCCCAGGATAGGACAACCCATCCTGGCACGTGGCAGTGAAGGTCAAGCCAATGTCCTCAGGGCTGTCCCAGACTGTGAGCTCCACCTTGGACCGAATACTCTGGAAACACAATGGGAAAGCAAACCATTAAGCTCCCGAAGACACAAGGGTTTCTTCTGCTTTTGTCTCTTCTCACGGTGTTTCCAGAGGGTGGATAGGATATCTCTGCACCTACATGAAAAAAAATCACCCCTGCACACACATTGACATTTGAATTTGACTCAACCAGCCCAGAAGAGTTCTGATGATCACAACTAGGTTCTCAGGGAGCTGCCTACCACCCCTGCAGGGTGTCATGGACACTGCACCAGCACTGGAAACATACGGGTGCACAAGACAAAAAAGAAAACCTTGACCAGAAACAGAAAATCTCTGAATTAAAGGTCAGAGCTTTCTGTGCACATCTGCACCTTCTTCTCCCCATAAACCAGCTCCTGAGCAAAGTGCAAAGCCTGATTCTCCACTGGCAGCTGTCCTACAATGTCTGTTGTGCAGAGAAGATGTGAAACTGCACTAACTCTGTCTTGCTTTCTTCATTTCACCCAACCGGTCAGAAAAATGTATTTTCCCTCTTAGATGAAAAAGCTGAACAAAAAGCACCCTTTCATAAGTGTCAGCTGGAAACAGCACCATGGGAAAAAATTAATGAAAAATCTCTTTGAAACAACTTTTCAAAGTGAAGAGCATTTTCCATCTGTGAGGTTTTGGTGTGCTTCTACCCCTTTCTTCTGCTTCTCAACTCTGCCCTGCTGCATACACAGACTTTTTAAGTCACAACAAAATGAAGTTTATAAATATTAATTCAGAATGACATTGTTTTGTTTAATTCTTTCAACGGCTGGAACTGATTTTCATACCAGTGGTGTCCAAAAACGACAAAGTTTTTCAAAATGGAGCTTTTTGTACAAATATGCTTATTATCCAAAGCCAGCTTCCAGCTCCATCCCTCTTCCCCTTGTACCCAGCCCTCACCAAAGAGGCCAGATTAAGGAAAAGTGATAATTCAGACCTCTTGCCAGTACATGTGATGACAAAAGCAGGGTCCACATGCCAGCAAAGACCCAGTGCTTCTAGAAATGGACAGGAAATAAATGAGTTTTGGCCGGGTGAATCTAAACAGTCCTTGAGGAAAGAAAGGAATAATTCCCATCTCTCCACTGTAACAGAGAAGCTGTTCATGGGGTAGCAACTGGGACCGTAGGGACTGTGGACTGAACGCTGCATGTGCCAATTGCCAATTAATCTATGGATGCTGCTCTGCCCAAACCATCCTGTAGAAATTAGCTGCTACACTGATAGGCTCCCCTGTCTTCTTCCCCAGAGCATCCCATCAGTAGCATGGCAGGAAACAGGACACCAGGCCAGGCCTCAGTATGGCCATGCACAGGCTCACCCTATGTTCTTACACAAATCCTCTTAGTCCTGTACAGTGCTGCTGTTACCCTAAATGCAGTGCCATTATTTTCAGCCCTTTGGCACTGTACACACCAGTGTCTTCTAACAACACCACAGCCACCACAGAGGGCAACTGGTGGCTGCAACAAGAAACACTCCCAGGACCTGCCTGGATTTGGTTTAGGAAAGTGCTTCTTAAACCAGCATCCCATTGCTCTCATCCCAGCCCTGTGTCTGGGCACAGCCTCCCACAAGCCATCTCTCAGGTATCTTGAGATTTGGGGGAAGGGCAGGGAGAAAGCAGTCCCTGTTCTCTTTTGCTTCACACCTGATGGGATGAGGGAGAGGGGACAGCATGCTGGGCAGATGAAAAGGGAGATGGAAGATGAAGAGATGGGGAAAAGAGATCTTGAGGGTAATGTAAGCCCTGAGCAAGTCTGACGTGTGCATCAGTGAGGGGAAGCAGATGAGAGAGGACCAGAGATGGAGAAAACACTGAAGGGGAGGGACTGAGCCCAGGCCCAGAACATCAGCCACTGCCACCCCGCAGGAGAAGACAGTCCCTGTTTGCACATGAAGGATTTCTCCAGGCTCAGACTTACCTTTGCACAGAGAATAAAAAAAGGTTCACTCCCATTTGGGAAACAGAATTTTAGCCATATCCTTCAGTGAGAATTTCCTCTGTCATTTCAGGAAAAAAACAAAGCTACCAAGAGGAGACGGGCTGGGTGGGTGCCAGGTTTCCAGTGGCCCCAGGCTGACCATGGCACAGGCAGGAGCTGCCAGCTCCACACAGCATTCCTGGGGGTCCACCCACACCTATCACCCAGCTGAACAGGCAGGAAACTAACCCCAGTCTCAGCAGTCAGGCAACCCACAGAGCTCATTCCACCTTGGTCAAGCACCCAAGTGGTTTCCAGGCAGCTCTGCTGGAAAGCTCACAAGCAAAAAGAGGAAGCAGTGGTGCAGCTACAGGATTCCCAATGGTTTTCATCAGCTTCAGCAGTATTGATCTGCAAAGGCTTGAGGGGTGGTGAAATGGAGGCATGGATGCATCTTACAGCTGCAAAAACAAGGCAAAGGGAGGTTTCTACCTGAGGGCACTGAGGCCACATGCAAAGTCAACGTGGAATAAATATTAATTTATTTCTCCCCAGCCAAGCATCTCAGTCACAAGACTCTCCAACCTCAAGGGGACAAACTGGGACAACTGGGCTTTTGATTGGCAGTGTCTCCTGGGCCTCATTAGCAGCCTTAACTATTCATTGCCTTCCTTAGAGGGTGAAACTTTGGGAAGCACTCTTCCCAAGGGCATAACCAAATGGTGCTTTAATTGCAGGGAGATGGGAGACAGGAAGGAAGAACTTTACAGATCACACCACAACCCTACATGGATTCTGGATGTGTAAACTCCTCCAAGGAAGTTCTTATTGACTCCCTGCACTAATGAACATAGTACCAAGAAGAGCTTGCAGCCACTGAAAGCTGTGCCCACAGGTCCCATGCATGAACAACTCTACCTTATTATGGGGTCACATCTCCATGCCCAACACCCGGGAAAATCCTTGCAGGATCACGAAGACCTGACCCATAAGAATTCAGAGAGAAGTAGGCACAAATGTTGACACTAACTATGCTATGAACATGCAATTTAGCTGCTTCTAATTGGTCTGCTTCCCTGATCTGCATGGAGATGGATGACATCAGGTCAGCAGTACAACTCCAGGTCCTTTGCTGTCCTCCTCACTGTGCCAAGGCAGGCTGCAGCAGGGCTCCTTTGGGAGCATGGTGATACTCATGGGGTGTTGAAAACCAATGTGGGCTGCATGAAGAGCAAGGCAAGAATGAAACCTTACCTGGGCCCAGTCGCATCCTTGATAGGCCTCTAAAAGAAAGAATCTATTTTACCTACTGGTAGGGTGCTCTGAGAGAGACCTGTTTTAGATGGGGGCTGTGTTTGCGGGTAATTCTGCACACAGGAAACATTAGGTAAAATTTCTGCTGTCCCACAGGCTCTCTTGGGTATCCATGCTTCTTGTCTTGCTCACACACCTTGTTTCCCTCCCCAGGGTGGACATCCCAGCTCCAGCAGTGTGGAGAGGACAGGGGAGGGAGGCAGCCAAGCTGGGTGGAGCACACCGGGGGGAGCTGAGCTGGCCAAGCTCTTAGCCCTTTTCACTTCAGCAGCTGTGGTATTAAAATGCACTTACGTTGTAGGCTTTGACAATCAGCTCAATGATATTCTTGGAATCTTTGTGCAAAATCTCCACTGTTGTTCCAGGGATCAAAGAGGTAAAGTTCTTAAAAAAAAAAAAATAGAAGAAAAATTAAAATGTTGAGGTGCAGAGTGGAAAGCAGAGAATGAGGAGGGATTGATCCCATGCCAGGGACACAGGCCACACACACTGCCCCATCACCCAGTGGTGTACATGGTATGTTTTGGCTCCGGTTAATGTGGAGCTTTCAAAAGTAAAGCACTGCTAATGAAGCATGTCAAATATTAAACAAAGCTCATGGCCATGGGTCAGGAGCAAACATACCTGGCTCTGCTGCTGTGGGGGGCAAGACCCAGCTGCTGTGCACTCGGGAAAGCTGGCACTGCAGGGAGGGAGGGGTGGCTGTCCCAACTTCCCTCCCAACCCTGAGCATCCCCAGGAGAGGGGGTGGAGAACAAGCTCAGCCCTCCCACTCCCCATGGGTGAAGAGCAGCATCCCCACCATAGCAACACGGCTGCTTGTTGTTCCTGCTTGAGCCTCGAGGGCCTCAGCAGAGGTTTCCAAAAGCAACCCCGCCTGAAACACCACCCCTGCATCCGCAGAGCAGCAAAACCCCGCAGGGCAGCTCTGGACACAGGCTGGTCTTTGTGCCTTGGGTCAACTTCCCTTTTGAAGGGGAGAGCAGGAATGGCAGGAGAGTTCAAATTGTGTGTGGCACGTCAGGGCCCTGGACTCCGTGATGGAAAAACACAGCTGGGCAGAAACGCTGTGCATGATTAGGTAATGGGATTAAGTCACTGCAGAATGGGCCGAGCAGGTTTCTGCTCTCTGGCACGCTGCACCCTGGCAGCCATCCGAACATCCAGATTAACATGGAGTCTATTTTAGCTCTTCACATGCTCACTAACACACATATATCTGTTTGCTCTAAGAGGCTTTAGTGCTTTCTGCTGAAAGGACCAGCAGGGCTGAGCCTTGTCTGCCTGCACCGGGCAGCCTGTGGCCACATGCATGCACCCTTACCACTGCACACACGTGTTTGCCACTGCACACACATGTTTGCAGCTGCCTCCACTCCCCAGGGCCTCAAGAGGCATTTCACTCTCCCCCCAGCTCAGGCAACTCAGCAGCACTTACCTTGTAGAGGATGTAATGACTTTTTGTAACAGCAAAAATCAGATGGATGTTGTTTTCAGCAAGTTTCTCCCCAAGAAGTGCCAGGGAAGGATAATCCTAGGGGAAATAAAACAGGCAGAAAGACTGGTGGCTAAAACAGAAAAAAAGACTAATTTCATTGCCTTTCTCTTCCCAATAGCAAAATTCATTCCAGACACATGGCGTGTATTGCTGTGGGATGAAGTCCTTGATGTACTAGCACAATCCCAACGGAAATAGTAGAAATCTGTTAAATATTTCTACAGCACTGCTCACTAAAATGCATGACTGACAACACCACTAGCCACAGCAATACCCAAAACAGGGGTTATTTCTTTCCCCTTCCTATTTTGCCATCAGCAGATGCACATGTGCTAAATGGCTGCTACTTCAAGGGGTCAGAGGTAGGGAGATCCAGAACTACAGAAAGTGGAAATATACAAAATTTTTTTGTCCTAAAGCAGAAACATCCTTTGCCTGTTCTTTCTGCATACTGGGACCACAAAGAGATTACAATAAGCTCTTTAATTCTGCAGATTTCCCAGGCAGAGAGGATGGCAGGGAGACACTGCTCTAGCAACAAAAGAATGAAGCAGGGCTCAGCTTCTAGAGAGCAGCTTGAGTTTAAAACTCCCGCCAGCTTCTGAAGTGCTGTCCTTGGGAAAAAACATCTCATTCACTTGAGGACCAGAGGGTGGATTGAGAGCCTCTGAGATTCAAACATGGGAACACCAAGGCAGCATCCCATGCCAGCTCCCCAGCACTGACTCCACATAAGGGAGCCAGTTTGGGGACTGTGCTCCCTTCCATATCCATCCACTTGGTAGGACTGCACAGGGGGTTCCACTGTAGAGACCAGCTTCTGACCTTAACACAGGCACCCAATTTCCCTTCCCCTCACAGGGTAACATTCAGGAACAAAAATCATAATTAGTGCATGTGACCTGCTGAATAAAGCACCTTTCTGCAGAAGGATGGGATAATGAAGTGGCAGGCACAAGCTCATTCATCCCAGAAGTTTTCTCCGCTGAGTTCAATTTTTAAAAAGGCCTAGTTTGCCTGTTTATTAGTAAGACTTATGTTAGTGTGGTGTTCAAAGGCTATACATAAAAGGAGCATTCTGTTGTACTTGCTAGCGTAGTCACATCAAGGTAGATACACCCTCCTCAGGAAGAGTCCTCTGGACAGTTCTCAGACTCCACCCTCCTCAGACATATTTTAGAAAACGGATGACATATTCTGTTTCCTCTACACTTTGCAGGCAAAACGTAATGCTTTTCAGGACACCAAGTTACTTTTCCACCCCTTGCAACAAGCTTTGAAGGAACTCACTAAGTCACCAACTCATTTTTGACCATCACAGAAGCATTCCCTACGGGGGAATGCCCAAAGGAAGAGCAAATTTTATTTGCAAATTGCAGAAGCTGGGTTAAACCAGGCACTGCATTTGCCAAATTCTGCTGGAGTAGGGGTTGGCTGGTCTCCAGAGAGGTTCTCGAGGTCTCCAAGGGCTGGGCTCTGTGCCCCACTCACCAGCTGGCTGGACGCGCTGTACTCGTTGGCTTCGTTCAGGTGGCACTGGCCATCATGGGGCTGCACCAGCCCCCCCAGCTTCCCATCCAGGGCTATGTGGGGCACATCATCCGTGGTGAAGACCAGCAGGTGAGATGCCTCCTTACGCCAGCCAATCTTCTCCTGGGGGAAAGCAAACCCTGTGAGACAGCAGCCTGCCCCTGCCAACGCTTCACCCCTCACCCTGCACATGGTCCCAGCCATGTGCCTGGCCAGCAGCACACCCATTAGCATTAATTAGGAGAGTACCATGCTCCTGATCACCCATCCCTGGTATGAAAACAAAATGTCAGGAGCCCATCCAGCATTTCCCAGCAACTCCTTCCAACACAATTTAAAAGGCATGAGGAGGTATGTGGACTGTCCACCAGACCTTCTCTGCCCAGATCCAAGAGTAAGAATTTCAGCTGCTTTTATAGCCAAAGGAGACCTGCCAATTTCCTCCACAGACATTTAATCTGACCTTGTTTCCTCAGCTCTGTGGAGTGGCCAACACAACAGCAAGAGCTGCAATATCCCTGCTCAGCATTTTCATTGCTGCCCGCTCATAAAGGCTGTTTCTGAGCTTTTGTACTGACAAGGTGAGGTCCCTGCCTGAGGGCACTGGCTTTGGTGCAACCACACTCTGCCCTGATCCCCTTCTGCACACATCTCCTGGAAGCCATGGTGCCTCTGCTATTTCATTGTACAACTCTACACAAACCCCAGGCAGCTTCATCCCCCTGCACCACAGCCCAGGAGGGCCAGGGTACACACAGCCAGAACAGAGCAGGGACCTTTGCCATTGGTGCTGGCACTAATCCCACACAACCACTCTACAGTGCTGCTCTGAGAAACTCCTGCCTATTTAAAAGCATGGTAATGCCAAGACATGCTGTAGTGGTCCCTAGGAAAGCACTGAGGCATCAAGCACAGCACATGAAATGTCCTCTGACCCCTCCTTGGTCCCTCTGTGCAAGGACCAGACGTTATCACTGTCTTTTCATGAAGAGAGATGCAAGGACAGATTTTTTTTTTTTCAAGTAAAGGGATAAGATCTAGATTACAAACATTTCCCTCCCATGGAGCTTCCCCAGGTTTCCAAGTTTCCAGCAGCCCAGGAAGCAGATCTGTGCCTATAACAGCACACTGAAGCATTTTGTTGCAATGGAAGTGGAAGGAAACAGAGGTGCCCAAATGAAATTATTGCAAACCACTGTGCTGCAGCAAACCCCCTCAGTGGCTGCTCCTGCTGCCAGGTCACTGCCAAGCTGGGTGAGCAGGGGTCTTGCTGCTGGCCATGGCAGGGAGATCCTGCCACGCACAGACTGGAGGCAGAAAGTCCCATTGTCCAGAGCTTCCCCTTGGGCTGGCCACACTGACCAGCTGCCAGTAAAGACACTGCCCCACACCTTCCCTGCCCACACACTTCCAGCATCCCCCTCCCTCCAGGACCTGGCTCAGAGTACCAGCACACAAATCCTTTGGGAAAGCACAAGGGAAAAGCTGGGTCACTGATGGGAACACGGTGCAGATGGAGATACCCAGCTCCTCCAGAGTTACTGCTCAGCTTATTTAGCAAAACCCAAACTCTGCCCTGTTTACAGGAAGGTGCTGGCCTTTCCTATGGAAGGCAGTGGCGTGGGCAGGGCAGGAGGGCAGAGCAGGCAGAAGGGTGTAGAATCACATGTGCCAGCGCAATTTTCACCTCCAAATGTGAGTCATAGCCCAAAGCCTGCTGATCTTTCCAATAAATATAACTCTTGCTTCAGGGACATTATTCTAGAGTAGATTCCTTTTTCCTCCCAATTACAGAAGGTTTATTTTCTTTATTGACATTTTAAAGACCCCCACGATGCATATAAGGCCATAGGAAGAAATTTTTGGCAACACACATCCTTTAGCATGCACCAGCACGTTACAGTCCAGCTCAGGAAGTAATGAATACTTTTTGCTCTGGGAAGCAGGATTCATTCCTCTGAAGTTACCCCACTGGACAAAAGGCTAAAACCTCGTGCCAAAATGTAACTTCTTAAGAACTCAACCCAAAAGTGATTACAGCTCTAATAATGCAAGAGGCAGTTTTCAGTCTACTCAGCCACCAGACAGAAGCCCATCCAATTCACTTTTCTTTGAGTATCCAAAGCTGATTTCTTTTTAAATGATTAAGGCCAAGAAACTCCCAAAGAGATTAGAAGGATTAATCTGAGTTTCATTTCCGTAGAAATGTGCTGCACACAAAGAAAAGGAACTGCATTCAAGCAGCAGTTACAAAGTCACTTCAGGGGTGCTGGTGCTGGTCACCTGCCTGCTAAGCCCACCTTTAAATCATGGGTTAAGAATTCCTTTGCAGACAAACTCTCCATGACTCCAACACAATTTTCCCATATAAACAATATCAGAACTGCTGTGGCAGCTCAGTTCAGGAACTCACTCCCAAAAAGCAAAGAGCACCCACAATCTCAGTGTCATTATCCAGGCACTGAAAGTATGTGATGCCTCAGAGCATCAAACCAGGGTGCCTTGGATGGGCTGGCTGAGCCAGTGCTGATCCCACACCAAAAAAAGCTGTAAACCTATGAAAAAAGCCCCCCAAGGAGGCTGGCATGCCAAGGAGCATCTCACACTGGCCTCTGCCAGCGGCCTCAAGGCACTGGAAAATACAGCTCTTCAGCATGCAGTTTCCACTGAGAAACCCAGAGCAGCACTCCGCTCCGCTTAAAGCAAATAACCAAGGAGAATTTCATTTATTTTTATTGGACTGGGATTGCTGAACAAAAAACCCTGCACTGATGCCTACCCTCTCATCTGGTTTTTGATCCTTATGGGATAAGAAGGATTTTTAAAGCAGGGGTGGGACTGGACCCAAAGCAGAGTAACATATTTCCACAGGGCTTGGGATGCTATGGATCCTGCCCCTACTCCTACAACCAGTTGCAGTTGCCTTCTGCACCCCAAAAAACAAACTTCTCACTCCATACAGCCAATAGTGACTGGAAAAATTGCCACAGCTGCCTCCAAATACTATTGAAAAAGCTGCAAAGCCTGTATTTCCATGCCTGAATAAATACCTACATTTATATTTTGGGCACTGAATAAAAGCCATTCAATTGCCAAGACTCAGTTGCCAGGAGACCCCTCCAGATTCATCAATTTGTCTAAAACCTCACCAGTTTTTCAGGTGCAGACCTTCTTGAGCGCAAGAAACAGATACAGGTGCAAGGCAAATATGCCTTAGGGATCAAAAGCCAAAACCTCCTTCATTTGGTATTGCTCTGAAAGGCACCTCAGTGTCTCCCAGATGCCTTGGCTATCTCCAGCTACCAGTGTCTAGCAAGCACCAACCAAAACCATTCCAAAAGACGCTTTATTTTCCAATCTAGCATTATCTTCTCATTTCATCTTAGCATTTAAGATCTCAAACTTACACATACCACCAAGCCATATGAGGCTTGCACTTACAGAATGGCAAAAAACCAAAATACTGCAAATGGAAAATGTAATTATGGAAGGCTGATTATATTTCATTATATTAATTATAGAAGGCTGATTATATTATATTTCTGGCATACTATTTTAGCATCAGAATAAAGGCTTATTGTCTCTGGCTCTTTCATTGCCTCGAGAATAACATTTACCATACCTCCATCTTTCAGAAAGCAGCCAAACCCTGGGCCTGCTCCTTAGTCTCTATTAGCTGTACAAACTTTCCCCATTCCTTGGGCTGAAGACCAGGCCAAAACATCACTGAGTGCTACAGAGCCCTTAGGCAGCTCATGCAGAAGAAATGCTTGCTATGCATTCCAGTGTAAAAACATCTAGTCAACACAGGAACAACAGTTTGTGACACCTCAGAAGGGGAAGAGAAGGCCTTGTTTAGACACCATGGCTTGGAGACAGCGAGGCTCTGCTATGCCCTGACCTGCTCTCCCCTTGATGCTGAGCACAAAGAGCTTCATGGGCAACACACTGCCTCAAGGCAGGAACTTTCTAAGGTGATAACTATCCTGGAAAAAGCTGGGGCATGCCAGTGAGATGCAATGGGGTGCCACAGCAGTGACGAGGAAACCCACCTCAGAAGTCACCAAGGTACCCATATGCTGCTCTCCTTGCATGGGAGGGGGAATAGTTAATGAATTAACAGAAATTGCTGTCTGCCTCTGGGGTTTTCATCCCCATGATATGCCATTAGTCACTGCAGGATGAAAAACTCCATGCCAAGAACATCCTTGTCAGCAAGCTGCACTTCACTGCCACCCCAGATGTCTGCAACCCTCACCCACCTCAGTGGTGTTGAGCCTCACCACAACCCACAGCTGCTGACCAGTCTGGGCCTTTGCTTAGGGACCACAAGGGAAATTAAGCAATAAGTTCCCATTTTGACTCTGGGACTGTCCTAATGTCAATCAGCTGCCTTGAAATTTTGCCTTTTTTAACTCTGGACAGACAGAATCTTTGCTGCTCATGGCTGTGATGAGAGGCAGCTGCTCTGCCCAGAGCAAGGCACTGCCAATGCAGCATGAGTCATGGCACAGCCAGTTCTCCTGCCTTGCACACCAGGCCCATGGACTTCCTTTTCCACACCCAAGCTCCAGTAATTAATTAACTGCTGTGGCTGCAGAAATTCGCTGTCATGACCTGCCACATCATGCCAACAGTCATGCATGTGCACATGCTCACCTTTGCTCACCCTTCCTTGAGGGTGCTCATTCCTCAATTTAGATGGTACCATTCATCTTCTACATTTAGAAGGGACCAGGCTGCACATTCAAGAAGGTCAGTTAAAGATTTTGATCCTTACCAACAGTCTGAGACTGCCACAAATATAGAGGAAATATCTTGCAGGTCTCCTGCCTTCCACCAACACTTCAGAAATGAGCCCTTGTGATACACACTGAAGTGCTGCTGCACTATAGGGAATATTTGCCTGTTTTTGCAGTAACATCATGGAAGGGAGTGCAAAAACCCACATGGTGAATGGCACAACTGAGTCACCACCCTGAGCCATCCCTTCTCTAACCATGGGAGTCACCTCTCCAAAAATGAGAAGCACTTTCTATCCACAGCTATTGGGAGCAGTACAGTAGTTGTGCCAACAACAATATCTGTGGGAAGTTGCCCCAATGGGGCAGGTTCTGTCCTGCCAAGACCATGAAACACAGAGAAGTCAACCCAGGCAAGGAAAGATCTGGTTTCCCACATGCCTGCATCCCATCACTCCCACAGACCATGCCTATCTCCCAGCTCCCATAATTCAGACCCAGAAGAAAACATGCCCAACCAAAAGGACTAAGCAAGGCTGAATCAAACAAAGCAAATTGCAGCAATAGGGGGAAAAGCAAATAGAGCCATTCCTGATAAGCAGGGAAGCTCAGCCTCATGTCAGAGTGAAGCAAACACTTTCATTCATGACAAAGGGATATGGAGCAATCCAACTACTTGTTCCAGAAAGATCTCCAAGCAAGCATCTCCAAGAACCCTAAGGACATGGCTAACATGGCACCAAGCTAATGAACTCCGCTCCAGTTCTGCTGACAAAGGGGGAGAAAAGGCTGTCAGCACCCAGAGGTGAGATCATCCCCCCACACACAAAGAGGGAAAGTATGAGCAGTAGGAACCAGCTCCAACCCTCAACATGGGTCTACTGCTGCAAGATGTATTTGACACACCCTTAAAAAAACACACTGAGCTGATATGAAGTGCTCCTGCACACAAGTGTATGTGACTCTGGAAGGATTCTGTCCCAGGTGCTCAGCACCAAAGGTCTAACTGTGTCATGAAATCTCAGTTCTAAATCTGCGTTTGCAAAAGCTCCATTTTTATCCCTTTAGACTAGAAAAAGAATTAACCTTTTTTTCCTTTTTATCTACAGAAGCACATAAAAACAAAAGCCTCTACTTCTGAAAGCATTTTTCAGTTTCTCCAAGAAAAATTTAGTGGTTACTTCCAGGAAATGGCAAACTGAAGCTTCGCCTTGGTTCAAGAACAGAGCAGAAGAAACCTCCAGAAATCAGAGCAACTCACCTTGCACACAGCAGCCTGCAAAATGGCATCGAAGCCGCCCTCGGGAGCATCTCGGTTGCGGGAAACTTTCTGTTTCTGGACTTCTTCATTGAAACGGTCGACTTTATCCGTCAGGGACAGGAGGTGGCGGAAGCCAAAGGATGGGACACAGCTGGGGAACAGCTTATAACTGTGGGAAGAACAGAGGAGTGGTCAGCCGGGAGGAACCGCACCCGCGGCCAAGAACTGCAGAAGCTCCCAGCTCTACCAGGTTGGTCTCTAAGATTTTGTTCAGAGGGTTGGAATACTTTGGCAGTGCTTCATATTTTGGACACTTCAATTTCTGGCTATTTCTCTACAAAGCCCTACAGTAGAGCCCATATTTTTTTCCCCTCAGGGGCTTTCAGAAGCTGAAGTTTCCAGAGATCCCACCAGGAGTGAACATCTCTCTCCATGTACCATGTAAGTGGAGACACTGAGCACCAGCCCACCCTGGGCCATGCAGCTCTGTGGTTTTAGCACTCATAAAGTGGTTTTCACTGGGAATCTGCAGCCCAGGATGCAACCCAGTGACAGGGAGGCTGCATTTTGGCAGATCCACGCTCTCCAGCAGCCCAGGAGAGGCATGGGAGCCGTGTCCCACACCTGCAGAGCCTGTGGGTTACCTTTCCCCTCCTCTGCAGTATAGATTTTCACTGTGTCATCCAGTTTTCTTGCCAGTACGAGCCACCCTACACCTACTGCACATCACCAGGCACCTGGCAATTGCCCAGTACGAGATGGAGCAATAACCAACACCAGCTCAAGCTTCCTCCCACTCTCCCTGCAAGCTGGTGAGCAAACATCATCTCTGCTTCCCAGGGCACCACTGGAGCAGAAAGGTGGGAGGGGCACCCTAAGGCAGAGAAATGTCTTGGCAGGCTACCAGGAAACCTTTTTTTTTCCCATACAAAATCATGAGAAGGCAGTTTTGGTGTTCACCTGGAGAGCTCAGCAGAGCAGCTCCTGTGGCAGGGAAATCAGTGAGTGTGTGCAGGAGAGAGGGATGGGAAGGGTTAAGAAGAAATGTGTTTAAAAAGGAGTTGGCCTGGCACTAATTCACTCTTATCTTTAAACATATAACCCAGAGTACAATTAAAAGCTTCTGCTGACACATGACCCACTCTGGGTAAGTTGCAAGAGGCTTTTTACACAAAGGAGTATTTAAAATTTACCATCACTGAGAACTCAAATTCCTCACAAGGGACCCCAAAGCAGGGATTTCCATACACACATACACAAACCCCTAACTGTGGAGAGGTCTCATTGCCCTGGACTTGGCTGGCAATTAGAGCCATCCCTTTTGATCCATGATCCACATCCAGACTTGCATCATGCTCACGCCCAGGGCAAGGCAAGGAGTCTGCCATGTCTGAAACATCTGCACTGCAGGGTCTCAGCAAGCTGCCCTTAGCCCATCAGGATGCTGAGTCAGGAGCAGAGGTGATGAAGGAGACAAGGGAAACGGGGCTGCACCCCACCCACACCTGCAAGTCAGTCACCAGCACAAGGTAGAGGAGGGGAGAGCCTGGACCAGGGGAAAAAAGCACCCACTGCAGCTCGTGTTCACTTGCAGCTTTTCTTAGATGCTGAATGGTTTGTTTTGACACCAGAAATAGCTGCAGACAAAACAACACCTGACAACCCACTCACTGCACCAGGAACACATGGCAGCAGCCAGAGCCCCCACACAGAGCAGGCTGGGGAAGGAGATTCCATCAGAGAGCAGGGAGCCAGCACCCCTGCTTTGGATGAAGAGGAGGCACATGGCGACTGGAAGGGAGCACCTACCAGATGAGCTGCCACAGGCAGTCCTTCCTAAATGTTTTCCCAAGACCAGGCTGGCTTAAAGTAACCCAGAGAAAGAAAAGCAATGACCTGGGTAAAGCCAAAGGAACACATGTATGTTCACTTAGATAGCCTGACCATGGTGGGAAGAGCTGAGGTGACAGCTCTGGATGTTCTTGGTAAAAGGTCACTGGAAGTTCCAGGTACACCTTTGTTGCTGAGTTGTCCAGTTCCATCCTCTCCTCCTTCTGCACCCATCTCCTGCATGTTTCACTCTGCTTCACTCAGCAAAAGCCATGTCACACCAATTAAATCACACACCAGCCAAACAAAGTTTCCAAGATTTCTCCAGCTGGAGCCTGTCTCCACCCTGAGGGCAGGTGTCAGAGACTGAGGAGGACAGAGATAACAGAGGATCCCTCGAGGCTATGCCAAATTTCTGGGAGAAGCTCTATGAAGAGTGTGGTGTGCAATGCCATCGTGGCAGAGACACCTTCCTGGCTCAGTGTGGTCACTTTTGATTAAAGCAAGAGTTTTCAGTGTTAAAATCCATTTGACTTTCCACTCTGGACAGAACTGGTGAAAAGTGAATACAGATAATTTTCGTCTGGTCAACAAGCAATGTGCAGTGAGATGCCAATGATTGGTCAGTGCCAAAAGCTGGCCTAGAAACTCACAGCTGATGCAAGCTGTCTTTATCTGCCTCACAGAGCTTGGCATCCATGCATGAGGTGATCTTACAGTGTAAGCATCCACAAATGGCTCAAATGAAAGCACAGGACTAGGAAGCATCCACTTATGGATGAGGTGAAGATGGGCACTACAAAGGTGTCAGTGGTGACACTCCCCCAGGAGGGCACTTGCTGCTGTATCCATCCTTCAGTGCCAACACCCAAACACATCTGACCTTGGACACCCTTCCCTACACCCAATTTCACTCCAGCATAATCCTCAGTTCAATGGAGTTGATCCCATCTCTGGTGGTTAAAAGGCAAACAAAGAGACACTTGCAAAGACACAAGCAAAAAAACAAAAAAAAAGGAAATAAAGGGATGAGGGTTCTGATATCACCATAAAGTAAACCACATCATTTGTGTCTTTTGTAACTGCCAGTTTGCTTTCCTTCCACAGCAATAAAGATGAAAAAACCTTCCTGCCACCTTAAAAACACTCTACAAAAACTCATTAATCAGCACTATAGGCCATCACAAATCTCAGTTCCTCTAAACACTTTTGTTGAGAAGAAGTTACATTGCCTTGGTCTCCTTATCTGTAAAATGCAGACAAAAAGCTTAATTGATTTACTCAACGCCAAACTATGACTCAGAGCTAGGATCAGAAATCAGGAATTTCTGGCTCTGGCTCCTTTTCCTTAAAGGCTGTAAAAAAGCCTGCTATGTCTGCATCCTTTTCAGGTACTTAAAAATAGCTTCAGGCTCCCTGGTACAACAGTTTCCCATGTCTAGATGCAGAGATCTCCCAACAGCCACAGCAAAATTAGAAGCCGTCCTGTTTTGAACTGCTCAAGTATCACAGTGACAGTCAGACTCATCATCATCATTCCCAAAAACCAGGGCTGAAGTGTGGTTCATTATTTACAGCAAAAAGGCACATGAAGACTGCAGCCAGGCTCTGTGCAAACACAGACCTTGCCCCTCCAGGGTGCACCCACCACTCACCCAATGCAGGGATTGTTTTGGTATCTTGGCGCCGTGTAGGAGAAAGGAGAAATGTTTTTGTCCACGAAAGAGCCAAAGCCCAGACGGAAATTGCTGGTGAGCTTTCGCATCTCTTCAGCCAGCTTGGTCCCCAGATTGCGGATGTTGTCCAGGTCGTCGTTCATGGACAGGGACAGGTCCATCAGGTAGTAGAGGTCCACGGGGTAGTCCTCCACCTGCCGCACCTGCACTCGGAACGAGGTCCGGTCACCTGCACACACACACAAAGGGTGGGCACGCTGAGCAGCAGCAAACTCCCAGCACACAGAAAAATCCAGATCACACTTTTTTTTTTTAACCCCCTGCAGGGCAGACAGATTGCTTTTCAAAAGAAGAGGGTGAGGGCAGTAAGCTTTTCCAAATGCATCCCTTAGGAGACTAACAGGAAAACATGTATTGACTTTGGGTCCTCTTAAGCTATGCAGCATATTGGCTGGCAAGAAAAAGACATGGAGTGCATGTCTCAATTTTAGCTCTTTGGAGGTATCAGAGAGAGTCTTTCCATCTCATCTGAGAGAACATCTAAGGGAGGGACACATGAAAAACCCTGTTGCCCAGTGTGCAGTCCAGGGATGTTTCCTTAGAAAACAGGAAAGAAAAGCAGAGTGAAGCTTAAATGGATGTTTCATGGACTACTGCAACAGGAACCCTGCCCACACTTACTCGAGTATATTCTCAAAGAAAACCAGGAGCAGTCCAAGAAATCCTCTACAAGAGAGAGTAGGAGGTGGAGCAGGAGAAGGAAGAGGATCAGGAGAAAATAGCCAGCATGAAGTGAATGCAAGATGTCCTCGGAGCTGTGCAGGGAAGTCAAGGTGAAGCAGACACAGAAGAAACACCTTTGAAAAGGAGCTCCCCCCAAAAATGGAGTTGGAGAAATCAGGGCAAAATGGAAGTGGAAAAGAAAGTTGTTAGGGTCACCCAGGGAAGCCCTGAGGCAGAGATGAAACTTCCTGAAGTGACGAACACTAGGGAAGGAGCTGGCAGGGCTGAGTCACAGGCTGTGCAGATGTGAAGAGAAGCAGAGGAAAGCCTGTTCCTGACCTTCTCCTTTGCCACACTGGTCTCAGCAGAGATGCCCTCTGGAAGGGGTGCTAGGGAAGGCCACCACAGGCAACACCTATGCCTCAGAAAAGCTGAGATGGGTTCAAAGTGAACTCAGCTTCACACCAGCTGGACCTTGGTGGAGCCAGACAGCAGGTGGCAAAAGTTTGCCTTTCACTTTGCTAAGGGACGGGTCTAAATAAAACCATAAACTCCAACCTCACAAACCAGGCTTTGGAGGTGCCATGTTCCCAGCTTCTAAATTAGCCCCGTTCCCAGTTCAGTGAGGTCTCAGCCCCAGGGAATTGGGCAATTTCAAAACCAAGCTCCCAGTTCTGCCCTCTCCCAGCCCTTCACGGGTAAGGCTGAACTTGGGGCAGTGGCAGGTTCTGCAAAACACTTGTGGCTTCCCCCTTCTTCCCCAGAAATGGAACTCACATTTTTTAGTATTGTGAAAACATTTCCTTAACTGCTTTATTGTTCTCCTCCTTGTGCACAGCAGCACAGCTGTTCCCACTTACTTCCAGCCCAACAGCAGCAACAGCATCCCAAAACTGCCATGCTGGCAATGCACAGCACAAGGGACTCTGCAGCCTGGCTGGCAGAGCCCTTCCTGGTACCTGGGGTGAGGCTGCACCAAGCCAGAGCTCCCCAAACAACACCCTCCTTCTCCTTCAGCATTTCCCTGCAATCTGCTGCAGCCCCAGCTGGAAAAGGCAGGGCTGCAGGAGGCACCATGTGCAAACATGCACATGCAGGTAGTGCCCCGCTGTAGGAAGCAAGAAGCTCATGCCTTACACATTCCTCCTTACTCTCCCCAGCTTTCTTGTCCAGCAGGAGCAGGACAGGGCACAGGGCTGGGATGTGGAGTGCAGCAGGTGCTCACAGTATAACTGGCATGCATTTTGTGTAGGAACAAAGAAGAACATAACTCATGTAGCACAAAAACTGTTACCACTGATTGTGGGGTAAAAGACTGTGATTGCAAGCTTGACTTTAATTCAGTGCTGCAAAAAATGTATTTAAATCTGGGAAAATTCTTTCCCATGCCCTATTTTTCATTCCTGCTTATTCTTCCCACTCGAAAAGGGGATGTGTCCTCTGTATTTTGCAATGTTTTCATTCCAAAACACTGTTCTTCCTGCCAGAAAGGGTATTTGGGATGCTGTGATCAAACGTGCTTCTCTTAATAGTTACAAATTTATTAGTCCCTGAGAAGCACCAAAACCAACAGGATCCTGTGGCTGGTTCTTCTTTAATTCCTAACTAAGCACAAACCAATTATGTCAGAGAAAATATCGTTAATGTATGTAGATGTAAGTGCAAAAGAATTTATTATTCTCTATGGACAGTATTACTCTCACACTTCTAGGGATAATCCAGCCCCCTCCTTCTTCATGTACTGTTGCCACCATCCTCTCCTTAGGGCTTTTACTGAGAAGTTTTAAACTCAGAGCTTAATTCAGAAATTTTTCTTGGATACTATCATGCAGAGGCAGTGCAGAAACTGGAAAAATTGATTTTGGTCAATTTAAGAACATAAACTCAACAATCATGTTCATCCAGCTTATTCCTGCTTGGTGAGGCTTATGGCTTGATGAGCAACACAGCTGCATTTACTAATTTTTTAAGTCAGTTTACACTATTTCTATTTCCTTTAACTAGGACACACTGCTTTATAGCTGGGCTCAAGATTAAAAAGCAATATTATAAAAACTAAATGCTCAATCCAAAAGCTACCCTGTAAGGACATCAATTTAAAGCCTTGGGAGTTTAGCTGAGGGCACAGATGACAGATTTGGGGACGTGACTTCTGCCACAGGATGATGAGATCAAACTGCCTGGGTGGGAACAGCAAACAATTGACAATCCACTCCCTTCTGCTTCTGCTTAGTGGTCTAAGAATAAAAGATTACCATTGCCACAGACCGCCACTGCATGAATTCGTCTTTGAAATAGTACACCCCTCATGCCCAAAATTAAATCAACGTTGTCTCCTTTTTGTCTTGGGTTCACAGGGTGAAACCTGTTCTTCCAAACTCAAGGATTAATGGATACTTTAAGCTGGGCCAGCTAATGCAAGGGTTTAGGAAGTCATCAGCTTGAAGGTGAAGTGTTGCCCAACAACAAAAAAGAGAACAAAAATGGGAGATACTATCACAAACATCTGGGTTTGTTCCTCCTCTTGCAATGACTGTGATGCTCTGCAAGAGGAGCACAGGGAGAGGAGTTCACTGGCTCAGAGTGGGAATTGCTGCAGGGGTCCTCAGGGTGATTCCTGCAGTTCAGCCCAGACCCAGAGTGCTCCTCCATCACGAAGAACTGAGGATGGCCATGAGTGTGGTCCCCACAAGGGTGGGCAGAAGCAGCACACCAGCCCTGTGCAGCCCAAGGCTTCCAAAAGCCAGACCCCAGGAGGCCACAGGGAGATGGATCCCAACACCCTGCCACTGATTGGAGCAGTGAACACTGGATGGGCAAAACTGTCAGGGACTGGCAAAGCAGAATTCGCTGAGTACTGGCACTGCGTGTGGAGGATGCACAGGAGATGAGATGTGGAAGCTGAGCCAGCCCTTTCTGTCAGGAATTGCCTCAAGAAACAGCAGTAATAACAACTCCCTTTGCTCCCTTTTTTAACACAACATTCAGTGGCAGAAGCCATGCATCCAGATGTATGAACAGCGCTCACTGCTCTCAGGTATCTGATTTTAAGGCTTTGAAGCAATTTTTTTTAGATTTGAGGGTCTGACTAATGACAGCTGAGGAAGTTAATTGAAAAACATGACAACTTCTAACCTACACAGCTAAAACAAAAAACCCTTGCAGCAACTGGTAGGCTCTGGGAGAACACTGATAGCATAAGCACCAGCTCAACCCCCCATTTTTCTTGGGCAAAACATCAATATTTCTCTTTTCTGTATGCTCGTGAGAGCTGTCACAAAACTGTAAGCCTTAGAAACCCACACCAATCGCTTATAATGAATCAAGCTTTTATATTTGCTTCTTATCTTTGCAATAAAGAGCTTTTTTCCCTCTTCAGAAATGTCAGCTGCCAAATTTTTTCAAGAATTCTAAACCCACATTAAAGCCTCCCCCCACCATGCAAAAACTTTTGATAACAAGCATGCTCAGATGAGCTGTTCCCTTCTAATTTTTAATTAAAAGGAAGAGATTGAAGAAAAGTGATGGCTCAGGAGAATGAAAGAGGGACCTGGCTACAGTCCAAGGCCTGAGTCACAAGTTCAAATCTCCATCTTCTGCCTTGATCCCATAGCTCTTTTGCATACTGACAGAAAACAGATATGTGGGTTTGTTTCCAATTTACAGAAGGAGCTGTCTCAGTTTAGAGTCATGCCCTGTCAGCTTAGAGGAGGACCCAAAGTTATTTTAACTCCTTCCACACAGTGATTCCATTTGAAGCTGAGCAGGTTCCCCCTAAACACATGCAGGTGTTGAGACCATTACTGGAGCAGCTGTGGGTGACTTTGCCCAACAGCAGTGTCCTCTCCTGGAGGACACGTGCCCCAGCCCCAGACCTGTTTGTGACTCACCACTGAAGTTCAAAGGAATGGAAGGGGCCAGCAGTCACCTGCTTTAGTGGGCCACAAGGCCACAAGCTACAACGTGCTCTTGGCACGTCCTGGCCAGCCTTCCTCCCTCCCCCCACAGCCCACGGAGCCACTGGGGACTCACCAGGACGAAGATTCAAGGCGACCTTCTGAGGTGTGATCTGTGTGACGTCCAGGTGGCTCTGGCCGGAGCCCTTGCTGCTCAGAGGGACGCTCTTCACCACGCTGATGCTGCTGCTGGGGTTCTCGATGGCTCCGGCGCAGCCGTTTGCAAGCAGGTTCTGCAGGAAGTCGCACCGGGAGGTGATGGACTTTGTGCTGCTGAAATCCTGGGGGGTGAAGAAGGGACAAAAGCAAGTGGAGGGGAATGCATCAATCCCACAGCAGGGGCTTTGTTTTGACATGCTGGTATCTAACAACTAGGTGATGACAAGGAGAAACTGGTGTCCTTTGTGGTGACTGTACTTGGAAGGAGTCTGCACTGAGGCTTGAGCCTTTCAAAAGGATCAACCAAAAAAGGAAGTTCTATGAGGACTTGAACACTGAATTTGCCCACAGAGTACTGAAACAGAAACCTAAGGCTGTGTTTTCAGCCCAGCCACAGCAGCAGCACCTGTTCCCAGCTCTGGCCACAAGAGAGCAAGGCAAAGCCCTGGGTTTGCTGCAGGGACAGCCCATTGCCATCCCTATTATTTTATGCACATGCACTGTCTCAAAGGAACTCTGCAAAAGACAGAAGAAAGGACAAGGAAGTGGCACTGAGGGAAGCAGGGCAAACCCACCTACCCAGAGAGGGCCAAGTAAAGATGCGAAGGTGAAGACAGCCTGGGTGACTCCCTCCTCCCGGGGTGAGACACCACACGTCCCCACATAAGCTCTGCGTGGAGAGCAAAGGAGGTGGGAGAAACTTCACAGGAGCCAGTGAAAATGCAGGCTGTGCCCACCACAGACAGTCAGGCACAGGCAGCAAGGTGCAGGCAGACACCCACTCCCAAAGGATGGCCAGGAGTCTCCCAACACCCATCCCAGAGCTCCAGCCCTTGCTGGGAGCCCCGTGCGTGGTGCACAAAGCAGCCTTGTGCAGGGCAGCACTCAGGAACAGCAGGGAACACAATGCACCCTTTTGCAAGAGCCTGTTTGTTAGAATGCCTTTTTTTTTTCTCCCCAAAAGTGCCAAAGGGAACAAGTCACATGCCCAAAACTTACTGGATTTTCAACAGTCGATTCCTACTTATTTCTGCACTACAACAATAGAGACAAGCCTCTTCAGCTCCAGGGCTGAGGGACTAATATGACATTAAATAATTCAGAGAAGATGCTTGCAGCCATGCCAGCCCCTCCTTCTGCTGCTCAGCCAAAACCAGTGTGGGGCTGAATAAACCTCACTTATGGCTGAAACTCCAGCATAGCAAAGGACAGGAGAGACATCAAGGAGGGAGAGGCTCCTGACAGATCCTCATAGGGTGATCTCCAGGGGTCCCTCAAGGACAAGCTTGGATACAGGGCCCTGGGACACAGACAGAGGTTTCCAGCTGCATTTTTCTCACTACAAGGTCCCAATGCTATTTGAAAAATGAGAGATTTGCATTCCAGCATCCAGCAGCAGGGTCCAGCCAAGAAACTGACGACGGCACATCAGATGGATACGAGCACAAATTTCTTGGAACGCGTTGTGTAAACAGATGAACTTCCAAAAAAGGAGGACTGGGACTATTTAAATCATCTCCAGCATGACAAAATAGAAATCAGAATCCCTCACAAAGCTGAAAACAACGCCCAGCATTTCAGAGACGCACATTTCAGGCAGCCTTGGAGAAAAGTACTCTCAGATGTGGTTTTACCTGAAACCAGCAAAAAGCTAGTGGGGTCCAGGTGTTCCCCTGGGCCTGTCCACCCAGCAGCAGGGGGAGATGCTCTCCTACTCTCCCAGTACCCAGACCACAGCTCCAGGTGAATACTCCTGCCAGCTCATTTCTGCTGCCACCTATTAGAAAGGACACCCCAAAAAGTGTTGCAAAAAGCAATACAAACAGCCCAGAAGCACAGCTGGGAAATTCTAGTTACTCTCGAGCAACTAATATTGGAGAGAGGCATCCCAATAGGACAATATTTAGGGCTGCTCACAAAACTGCAGCTTCTGTCAGGTGTTTCCAAGCCTTCCAAGGGTCTGCTTCAAAGATTCCAAAGGAAGTCCAGGAGTTCAGGGAGAAGCCCCTACACAACTCTTAGGTCAGCAGTACCTTTGAACTCCTCCAGGTTCCCCTTCCTTGATCCAGCTATTTTTCCTAAACTTTCTTCTAAAATGGGCCCAGAGGACTTGCCAAAGGGCAGCAATTGCTAACCTACAGATCCAGTCAAATCCAGCTATTTTCTTGTCCTGTGAAAAGCCATATTACCTGAGGTGGAAGAAAATACCCACCCTCAGGGGTGCAAATACCTGAGGGGAAGGTGGTGCAGCTCAGCTTCCAGGGGTACAGGACTGACCCCTACTTCATCTTGATTTCTTACCCAGGCAGAGTAACACTGAGCAGGAGGGTGACAGTGGCCTTGGGAAAGTCCCAGCAATCACCACTGCACCCTGCAAACAAACACCCAAGCTGCACCCATAGGTCAAAACCCAAAGCCAAAACTGAGGCTACCAAGTACCATCCAACTCTAGTGCAGTTTTCTGTGACAGAGAAAATCAAGGCTCATTGGGGTTCAGTAGAGGGGAAAAAGGATGAGCAGACCTGGGGAATAAAGGGCATTGCACAGGTCCAGACAGCTCATGATAAACCACAGCAAAAGGCAGCCCCACAGCAGCTCAGGCACAGCACGCTGCTTCAAACCCCAATTTTCCCCAAGCAGAGAACACCCTGGGGTCAGTGAAACAATTAAGTGTGCCCACACATCTGCCAATCGTCTGCCTGCTTGGGCAAGAAGTGCAGCAGATGCCCCTCACAAGGGGGAACCACCCCAGACTTTGCTTTGTGCCACAGAGGAGCACTCTGGAAGATCCCAGCCCTGTCAGTCACTCTGGCTGCTCCAGCCCCCTGGTCGGTGCTAACAAGCTCACAAAGGCAAATGCACACAAGCAGACAGGATGAATGGAGACAACAGTGTGACGATTACATGCTCATCAGTTTGACAGTTTTAAGACAAATTGCTTGCTTCATGCTATAAAAATGGAGAATAGCACTCACTGTATCTAATATCTAATTCCTGACTAGGCATGTCCATACCATTCAGCCCATCCTCTTCAGTTTTGCTGAAGGTCTCAATCATTTTTTGCTTTAATCAATCCAGTTATGCATTAATTCTGTCTGAAACATGCCTGCTTTCTCCATTAAAAAAAAAAAAAACGAACCAAAAAAACCCACCAAAACAAAAACTTGACATGCTCCCTTTAGGAACATCCTTGATTTTCTTTCTTCATTCTTTAGGTATACTTTTCTGAGATAGAAGAGGATGGGGTAAAAGCACCTGCTGGAAAACAGAAGGTGCCACCAGGGAAATTTCACTTCACTTACTCAAAAAGGACATTTCAGTTTAATTAATAAGTGTATCTCTGGTTTCCACATACACACATAAATGCATCCACATAGGTAATGGACAGATGAACACAGTTCATCCACCCAGCAAACACATCTATCAAACAAGAGGAGCCTCTGCACACTGGTACACTGCTCCCCAAAGCAGCAGAAAAGAAAACATAATGCTGACATTTCCCCCCCACACTGGCACTCCCAAATGCTCTTTTGAAGAGCTTCACCCCCTGCAATCACCCGAGGAAGGTTTATCACAACCACAACCCCCAGCTGTCTATCACGCCTGCCCTAGCAGCTCAGGGGACAGCACTGAAGCCACTTCCTGAGCTCCCTGTGCTCCCCAGCAAACCCAACAAGCCCTGCTCAGCCTGGGCAACCAGGCGCCACTGCAAAAAATTCCACAAGCACCCTCTGGTCCCACACATGGAAACCAGGCTGCCACAGAGATACAGCAACCCCACAGGCCAGTGAGCAGCTTCCAGGGAGAAAATTATTAATTTTTGCCTGCAAAGTCGATAAAAGCTGGCCCAATTTGCTCACAAACCTGTAAAGTAAATGCAAAGGGAGAACAAAATACACACAAATCAGCTGACTGAGGTTCACAACTGCAATCTGTGGTATACGCTCCAATATCCTACCCCTGATATTTAAAGAGCAGCAGAGCTATAAAATTTGATTGGCATACATGCAACCAGGAAACATAGATAGCAAACTGCAGCCATTGGAAAAACCTAAGGAAAACACATTAAGAGCTATCCAATAAAGTTAATAAACCTGACTAGGCTGCAGCAGAGGGAAGGGGAATAAGGTGGTGAAATGACTACGAAACGAAGGCGGATATTATAGAGTTTATAATATTCCTTTAAAACTTTCTGAAGTTGAAAAACTCCAGGTATCTTGTAAATCCCATTACCTCACCTGATGATCTCAGCTAAAGAGAAATAATTCGTTTCAAACAGTACATTCTAAAAAAATTACAAAAAATACAGAATTAGGATAAGAACTTCCTAAGTTTAAGCATGTAGCATGTAATGGGAACAGCAGCAGTTTCAAACAGTACATTCTAAAAAAAAAAAGTACAAAAATTACAGAATTAGGATAAGAACTTCCTAAGTTTAAGCATGTAGCATGTAACGGGAACAGCAGCTTTTGAACACATAGCCCTTGGCACAAAACACCTTGAACTGTATATTTTTAAATAGCTTCTGCAGGCTAAAGGTCAGGAAGTATTACAGGACTTCCCTGTAAACACCCATCTTCCTCCTTGGCCCCTCCATTCCAGTCAGGAATTTTCTTTTTTTTTTTTCAGTAACTACCCTGTTTGCATGATAAGAGTCAGGCTACCAGTCCCATTAGTACAATTAGTGGTCACAGTGACCACCAGATAAACATTTCCACTAGCAGCATTCTGCAGAAAGTTGTCTTTTGATGCCAAGTAAGGAAAAAAAAACAAAAAAAAAACCGAAAACAAAAAAAGCACAAGCTATTGGGTACCCTTAGCTTAATAGCCAGCGTTCCTGGATCCAATCTCACCACCACAGATTAGCTGGCTGGAAGAGGAGCTCTTACAGCTGTTTACAAGATGTCTCAGAAGCAAGATCTATTGCTTTACCCTTTCCCTTCTGCGCACCAATTGCCTGGCCTGAAAAAACAACCCAGGAAAGCTGTGACGCTGTCAGGCAGCAACACAGGGTGTTTGTAGCATTACAGGGCTTTCCCTGGAGAGCTGCAGCTGTGCTTACCAGTGAAACACCCAGTGAAACACACCTGGAAGCCAGTGGCTGGGGCACCCCCCCAGGACCCAGCCAAACCTTCACCCCACATCCATCTCCATCCCCAAGCCCATCCTCTGCCCTGGAGCTGGCAGCTGCCCCAGGCAGGCCTGGCAGGAGGAGGGAGGGGAACAGCAGAGGGGACAGAGCCTGCATCCTCAGCTCAGCAACACCAGCTGCAGCTGGAAGGTGAAGTGAGTGCTCAGAAGGGGACAGGGATGGCCACACTAGAGGAATAAGGGTCAGCAGGGAACAGAACAGCATCACCACGGGCCATGCTTATAGAGAGGTTCAAGATCATCCACTGCTCTGGGGTTCTCCCATCCCAAAAGTGGTTCCTGACACAGCAGCTGTGCCAGCCTGTAGCACAAGCTATTGGGTACCCTTAGCTTAATAGCCAGCGTTCCTGGATCCAATCTCACCACCACAGATTAGCTGGCTGGAAGAGGAGCTCTTACAGCTGTTTACAAGATGTCTCAGAAGCAAGATCTATTGCTTTACCCTTTCCCTTCTGCGCACCAATTGCCTGGCCTGAAAAAACAACCCAGGAAAGCTGTGACGCTGTCAGGCAGCAACACAGGGTGTTTGTAGCATTACAGGGCTTTCCCTGGAGAGCTGCAGCTGTGCTTGCCAGTGAAACACCCAGTGAAACACACCTGGAGAGCCAGTGGCTGGGGCACCCCCCCAGGACCCAGCCAAACCTTCACCCCACATCCATCTCCATCCCCAAGCCCATCCTCTGCCCTGGAGCTGGCAGCTGCCCCAGGCAGGCCTGGCAGGAGGAGGGAGGGGAACAAGAGAGGGGACAGAGCCTGCATCCTCAGCTCAGCAACACCAGCTGCAGCTGGAAGGTGAAGTGAGTGCTCAGAAGGGGACAGGGATGGCCACACTAGAGGAATAAGGGTCAGCAGGGAACAGAACAGCATCACCACGGGCCATGCTTATAGAGAGGTTCAAGATCATCCACTGCTCTGGGGTTCTCCCATCCCAAAAGTGGTTCCTGACACAGCAGCTGTGCCAGCCTGTCTTTAAGATTTTTCCATGCATCTGAAAGCATCCATACTTCTCTCCTGAACACCTAGGACAGGCACTAAGCAGACAATTGCTTTCTACACATCAAACATTATTAGGGATTTCACACACCTTGTTCTCTAGAAATTGTAAGTCTGGTTGATAAGACATATATTGGATTATATATATAGACCTAAACTCATGAGCAGCCCCAGGGAGCAGGGGGAGGTATTTGCAATTGCTCACAAACAAGGAGGCACAGTTGAATTATGGGTGAGCAGCTTCAGCATCAGCACAAGGATGTATTTTCCCTCTGGAGTGCCCAGTTACTCTGTGAAACTCATGGCACCGATGCCAGAATCATGGGTCACCCCCCCCACCCCAAAATGACACAATAGATTCAGAAAGGAGAGTTATCTTTGTTACAGACAAAGAGCCCATGCCAGGCCACACGACGAGGGACACGTAGCAGGACACTAGCCAGGGGCTTGGGGCTTTTTGGGGAGAGAGCTCTGGAGCAAGGCTCCCTGTAACACAGAGCCCATGCAGGGACCCAGCATCCACCGAAAACAAGAAGGTAATTGAAGGGACAGAAGGACTGAAGGAACAGTGCTGCTCTGTTGAGGGTGTGTGGGGGTCAAAGTGGGGTCAGAGACTTATTTCCTATGATGTCAAAGAGCTGAGGAGTCCCACACACCCAAAATACACTCGTCATGCAGCATCCTCTGCCCTTACTCACCCCTTGTGGCACGAGCCAGGAACAGGCAAGGTGAGGAAAGAGCCCCCTTCCAGCACCACAAAAAGCATGAAAGTCAAACGAGGTGTGCCCACCTACCTCCTTGGAGCACCAGGCACACTTGGGATGGATGAGGAGACACTCTTCACAGGACGTGGCGCTTCCACTGGTGCACAGATTGAGACCTTCAGCAAGAGAGAACAGGGAGGGCTGAATGGTTACTCCACTCCAAAACAGTGCTTAGCGGGGTTCTGAGACACTCTTAATGCTAAGCACACTGTAAATTCAAACAAGAGCAAATAATCTCCCAGGAGCCTAAAAGGCAGAAGCTGTAAATTTCTCTTCACCTGTAAGGTCTTGTTTTCTTTTCCTTCCCTAAGGTAAATGAAAAGGACAGAAACTTGCTTTGGGGTGCTGAGAACCTTTAAAAAATGACTGAATCTGGTGATTTTTCTTTACTCTTTTTCAATGATGTCTGGTTAATCAGAGTCCAGCTACTCATATGCCTAATCAAAGACTCTCATTGCTGTGGGCAGAACTCAATAACTGTTTGACCACTCTGAAACGTGGAGCTGGCTGTCCAAAAGCCCAAGACGCTGACTTTTAAAGACACATCTTTAGGCATATCTTCTCATTTTTTCTAGCTGAATATACGAGGGGGCCTCTCCCCATAATTTTCTTATTAAAGCACTCTTAAAACATACTCATCTCCCCTTCCCACGCAGGTGATTCTCACAGTGGACTCAAGTTGTAATGCATTACTTTTATTTTACTACAAGAGACATTTCCACAGGACATCCAGGTTAAGCCTTGCAGTGTGTTAGCACTGGGACATGTCCAAGGCAGCAGGAGTGGAAGACACTGAGGGCTCTCCCTGTCTGTGATCCCAGCAGGGGCATCAGCCAGGCTGATGCTCTTTGCTCCTGGATTGCTGATGTCCGGCAGCACAAGAGGTCCCGAGCAGGTTTCACTTACAAAATCCACAATTTGCACTTTGGGCTTTAAAAATGAAGTGGAACCACACAAGTCAAGCCGAAGTAGACATCAGTGGTATGGGCTTTGAATGCAGCAGCTTATTCAAGCATGCCTGTGGCTATGAATGTGCCCTTCCATACCAGCGATGGCCGAGGTCCCCCGGGTGCAGCTATTAACTTCCACTGTCAATAAATGATTAAAGAAATCTTCAACTGAGGTTTCAGCACAGAGGCTGCACACTCCAAATGAAATGCCTCAGGCTTGAACTCCCAGTCTGCTATTTTTTCCAACCCAAATGTCAATAAAAGCATTGTCAGGCCTCCATTTCCAGCCAGTTGCATCTGCAGATACCAGCGCACCACGCTGCTGCTGGGTGTAATCTGCAGATTCCACAGAGTTGCCAACAGCTGCTGAAGAGTCCCATGAAGTTTTCTCCTGACGCAAGAACTTTCTTGCATGAGAACTTTTGAAGAAGAATTTTTGCTGTATCCCATGTGAATATTGCACCAAGAAATGGAAAGCAGTGGCTGCCTGGGTCGCTCCCATAAGGGGCTGAGCTGTGAGCACAGGAAGCAGTGAATCAAGCTGGACAGCTGGAGGAAAACCTGGCATGCCTTGGACTAAAAACAAAAAGAGGATAAGCATACCCTGTCAGTCATGGCAGAGGCCTGACCGTGCCAGAGCCGTGCACTGACGGGTCTCTGCTGCCCGCAAGGTGGTTAACTCTAACCCCAAGAGCCAAGCCCTGCACTCTCTCCATGGCTCTCATTCAAACAGGCTCCTTGGGCTCATTCATACCAAACAAGAGCCTTCTTAAGAGTGTGGGGCTTTTTTTTCCCTTCTGGCTGTTACCACATCCCCAGGCGTTTCATTCCTTTTTTGCATTCAGAAGTTATATTCCAGCTCCTGGACACTACAAGAGCTCAGAACATAAATAAGTAGTACAAAGCAAAATGTAACTTGTTCAACTGAGTTAAAATTTAGACAGCAATTAACACTTGCAGTTGCAAACCCTACAACATGGCCCAAAGCCTGTCCTTGAGAGCTGCTGCTCTGGCAGCTGTGCACAGGGTGACCCAGCAAAAATAATGGGCTTTATGTAGCAAATACTTGCATTCATACCCTGGCTACCCAGGCCCGGCTCTCCCACAGCTTCACTCGCCCATCCACATGGAAATATTTACCTCCATTCCTGTCTGCTGGGTTTTTGAGAGTTTACTTAGTCACAGTAATAGCTGAATGAAAGCAAGGTCTCCTCCTTCCACTGCGTGCCATGACCAAAGCAGCCCACGCTCCTGTGGCCAGCCATGGGGTGACATTCCTCCCGGTGGCAGCTTTTGAAGTTTCCAAGTATGCTTTTCTTTCCACTGTGCAGCAATGCTAAACCATTTCCAGCATTGTTGTGAAAACAGAGCTTTGTGAAGCCCTCCAATTTCAGACTGAAACCTGAGCTTTTTGAGTAGAAACACGCAGGATTTTCCAGATGCAAGTCTTCGCTGTGCTTGGTTCAGGGCAGTCTTTCCCAAATCCAGCAGAGGAAGGACCTGATGATGCTCATGGCCAGTCCAGATCCTTGCAGATGCTGGTGCAAGTCACCCACTGAGACTGGGAAGAACTCAGTCTGCTCTTTGGACTGCAATACATTTAATGAAACCACTCCTGAAAAATCAACTGAACTTCTTATAATGGGGAAAATTCCATCCAGGGTTTAGCTGGGATTACTCTGGAGGTAAATAATCCATTCCCTGGATTGCTGAGCTGCACAGCCCACATACAGTCCTTCATACTGATGCTACTGAGTCCTAAGCACTGCACTCTATTTATTTTGCACAATAGCATCCAGCAAGCACAAAGAACATCTCCAAATTACATCCTTCCCTTGGACTGAGCTGCAGGAGAGCCCAAAAAAGCAGAAGATCACAGTGTATTCCACTGTAGACAGCGGAGATTTTAATCCATCAAACTACAGATGCAGAGCAAGATAGGAAACTCTGATGAAAGGTACTCATCAAATTTACTCATAAAGATGCTCCAGGCAATCAGACCTCATTTTAAACCTGTTCTGCAAGAAATCCTAGTTTGGGCAGCTCCTCAAACGGAGGTGAATGTACTGGCTTGCTTAGAGAAGACAGAGAAAAAAAAAAAAGAAGTGATGCACTTTATACAGCTAGGCATGAAAAAGGAGCATTTTATCTGTGCTTGCAATAAGGCACTCTGAGATACCCGAGATGGTCTGCTGCAATACTGAACCACCAATTTCATGGACCAGGCACACACACACACACACACAAAAAAAAAAAAATTAAGAAAATTTCTCCTGAGCTTTTGCAATTATGTGCCACAGCACTCTGCAAGACGAGCCTCTTCTTAAGACTACTCATTAAAATATCAAGTACTGAGAGTAAGTACTGGAATGGTGGACTTAGGCATTTTGTGGGCTCCCTTCTTATAAAAAAGTTTCCCGAAGTGCTCGGAGAGGAAGAAAACCCTATTTCCAGTACTGCTAGAGCCGAGTCCCTAATTGCACTGCAGTCCACGCGTGTGCGTGCAAACCGAGAGCATCCCCACGAGGGACAAGGACCTCTCTGGGCGCCACGGTTCAAGGTGCAGGCGAGGAACGACACAAGGTGACAGCGTGGACACCGGCAGGGCACAGCCTGCGTGCGGCTTGCTGCTGCTCATCCCATCGACGAACAGACTCGGGCAAACATCCCGGGAAAGCGCGCACCCTGAGCAGAAGCCGCTTCCATTAGGAATATATATAGAGCGAGGGGTATAAATAGCAGCTCCGAGCTTTTTAAGGCGAAGGTGCAGCACCCCGAGGATGCGGTCCGTGCCCCCCGCAAGCAAGGGCACGGCGGGAGGGGGCCGGGGGCGATGCGGGGGAGCCCCGGCAGTGGCCAGCCCGGGCACGGGGACAGCGGGGACAGCGGGGACAGCGGGGAGCCGCGTCCCGCCGGCTGCGGGCGCACCGCAAAGCGGCTGCGGGGCAGGCACCGGGAAGGGGGGCGAGGGGAGGGGAGAGCACAGACGGTAACAGAGAGCACCGAGGCGGGTCTGGGGGACCAGCCGCCTTCCGGAGCGGCGTCCGCAGGGCCCGGGGCGGCGGCAGCGGAGCGGCCCTTACCTCTGCCGGGCTGCAGCGGGGCGGCCAGGAGGAGGAGGCGGAGGAGGCTGCCCGGGGGCGGCGGGACGGGCCGGGGCGCTGCGCCGGTGCCTCTGGCCCTCGCCTCGCTGTGAGTCCGTGGGTCTGCTCTGTGCGTGTGTCTGTCCCGCTGCCGAGGGTGCGCTGCCGCCTCCCCGCCCCGCGCAGGGAGGCGTAGCCCCGTCCGGAGCGGGACCCGCGGGCACGGCCGGGCCCACGCACACCGACACGGACAGGGACAGGGACAGGCTGCCCCTGCGGATGCACATGTGCCCGCACGGACAGGCACAGCCAGACGTGCGCGGACAGACGGACACAGATGGAGCCGCAGGCACAGGAGGAATGCGCGCCCGCCCCTCCGCCCGCAGCCGGGCTCGCACGCATTGCCCGCGGGTCAGTGCCCGCCCTTACGTGGCGTTTTTCCCGCTTGAGGGGTTTTCTCCGTGCAAACAGGCTGTGCCCGCTTGCCGCAGGGCTCTTTGAGCCGGGGCTCACGGTCCGGCGGCTTTTGGGCACGGTCCGCGCCCCCACCGCCCGGGACATCAACACTTCACATCGAAAGGAAGCGTCGGGTTTGTGTCGTGCTCGGGTTGCTGGAGAGCTTTCTGTATTCTTCTGCTTTTAAAATAAATCATAAGTCATCCCTAGAGGTGATCGTTGGTTTTAAAAGCAGTTTGTAGTAACAGGTAACTTACCCATGACTCGCAGACCTTCAGGACACCCTCATGTCTGCCAGATCTCACCATCACATTTTGCTTAAAACACATGGTGTGTTGCTGTTCTCAGACACAAGTGATTAACTAATGCCACCTGCCAAAGTTCTCCCTCACTTGCATTGATTCCCAGCTCTGCTTTCACAAACCTTGCTGATTTCTTCAACCTCTTCACACCCCCGGAAGAAACCAGGTTTGGGTTTAAAGTGACTATTTGTTGTTTTAGGAAATACACGCCTACAAAAGTTGTAACATTTTAACTGCACCAGGGCTGCTAAATCAAAACAAGTCCTGGTGTGGCTGTGGGAGCATCACAACCCTACTGCTCACAACCAGTGCAAAAATATCACTAAATGCCTCATCAAAACCCCTGCCATGGTAGGAGTGTGGTATGTGGGACAGGCAGTAGCCTACAAACTGCCCTCAGGCTGTTGGCTGTGCTTGGGGAAAGGGACAGCATCAGCTCTCCCTGTTATCCCAAAAACATAAGGTCCATGCTGTCACCCTTTATTAATAATAAAATTAATATTGGCCATGTTGGGACTGACCTGGACATGCAAGATGTGGTGTGTCGAAGCAGGTTGTTCCTCTGTGGAATATTTTTAATATTCCTGTGGGGAAAAAAAGAAAGTGAAATGCAGATCCTGCACTTGCAAGAGATAAAGTACCCAATAGGAGCATTACTGCCCAGAGAGGCCTTGTGTAGACCTAGAAGTCCCTTCTTAGTCCCTTCTTGGGTCTTCTGGCCATGCCCGAGTACCCCAAGACACAGCTACAACTATCCATGGATAGACTCATGTTTGAGAGCTTTAAACTATTCCTGGCTGTAGGAGCAGAGACGCTCATCTCTCATCCCTGTGTCCTGCTATGCTGCCCCGGGTGAAGGAGCAGATGCCCAGGGGCAAGTGGCAGATGAGGAAGGGGGGAAGAGGAAAAGCAGGGCCATGGGGTAAAGAAACTACATGGAGGAAAGGAAAGGAAAGGAAAGGAAAGGAAAGGAAAGGAAAGGAAAGGAAAGGAAAGGAAAGGAAAGGAAAGGAAAGGAAAGGAAAGGAAAGGAAAGGAAAGGAAACCACCTTCTGAGGCTGAACTGTGGCATCTGAAGGAGCACAGAAGAGGGCTCGAGGAGGCGAACAGTACTTTCAGAAGGAATGCACTGCAGCAGGAGCAGAGCCAGGCGAGGCGTAGGAGCTCCCCAGTCACTGGTTATATTTAGCTGGGCTCAGCTGAGGCCGAGCTCACTCTTCTGTAGTGCCTGTGGCACTGGCACAAGCACCTGGTGCTCACTGTGCCCAGGCTGTCCTGATCCCACAGCTCCCAGGAGAAACCCCCAAGAGCAGAGGAGCTGCTGCTCTGCGCTTTTTGAGCAGTAAGGTGTTATTGATGCTCAGCATCTGCTATCAGTCATCATGTTTTTCAAGCCAAATCCTTTGAAGGTCCCACAGAGTCACAGGTGGTTTATCCTATCCCAGAATAGCACCAGTGACCAACAGACCACTGTGTGGTGTGTACAGGGAAAGAGCCCAGGAGCCACAGGGGAGGAAGTGCTGTGGCCTCCCTAATGAGAAGAGTGTTAATACCCTTCTCTGAAGCTGGTGCTGTGCTCTTGCCCCATATGCAGCAGCAAAAGATGATGTAATTGCACAAATGGCCAAAGAAGCATCTGTAACACCAAGAGGGGGAATTCATGGTGAACGTGAGGTGGGCAGCTCAGTTCCAGAGAAAGAAGGCAGCCTTGTGTCCCTGAGCTTGGCCACTGACCAAGAAATAAGGCATGAGCAGAGGTAATGTGTGGCCTGAACTGAGATCCACAGAGAAGGTGTTGGTGTAAAACCTTCCTGCTTGCAGGTGACAATATGTCCTGGTTGTTTTTCTGGAGTCAAGCATAAGGTGGCAGTAGATGCCCCAAAAAAAGATTGCCTTCATGTATGAAGCCAGATAACCCCTTGATCTTCCTCCTGGGACTCCCTTGTTCTGAATAACGGATTGAGAAAAAAAGCTTTAATGCCCATGTCTCAACTAGATTATTATGGACTCAATAGAATATTAGTTTGAGGCAGCACCAAGATTTTGGGAACAGAATTGAAAAAAGGGCTCTGTCTCCTACAGGTCTCCTTGTGAAAGGATGACCTATAACAAAGTCTCCCTTGATCTCCAGGAACAGCCACCACCACAGCCTCAGTCTTTTCTCTCTTGACCATCATGTCTCCTGTCTACAAAATGCCATTCTTGAGGATCACATAGTCCATGAGATCCCTCAGGCTCCTTCAAGTACTTATGTGCCACAGGCCATAAATACTTGCCAAGGCCCTTGGACCTGGGTTTTCAGTATTATTGCACAGTTTTGTTACAGTTTCTGTAACAGAGAGAGGAAAATCCATCTTTGGAAAGATGTTTATATCTTTATGTTCACTTTCTTATCACTTACACTTTAACCTCTGGTTAAAGCAGAACATAAACCCAGGGTAACTGACCTGGGCATGGATTTTAAAGTGATGTAATTATAAGTTGATTCTCTGTCTCTTTTATGATCACTTAAAACACATAAAATCCTTTATCTAAAATACTCCAGGTGTTCTACAGATAGGTTTTCATTGTCCTATTTTCCTTGGGGCAGGAAGGGTGGATAAAAGCATCTGAGTCACATCTAGATGTCTGCCGTGACACTAAAGAGACTCTGGATTTTCAGTGGTGATTCCTTCTCTCTGCACCAGCCTGAGCCACTCCCAGGCCCTTGCACAAAGCCACAGCCTGTTTCAGGGCAAAGCTCCACCTCTGCCTTAGTGTTTCACAAAATATAACCACTCTCCAGCAGCAAAATCCTGGGACATCTTTGACTTTCTCCCATTTCTAGACTCTGTGGCATAAGTTTAGGTTTGCTACTTCCTAGCAGCTCCAGCTGGAAGAAACATCATCTGTCTGGATGTAACTCATTACAGCCACATTATTGGGTAGAACTCATTCAACCACCACATTTGCAGTAAGTTCAGGATCCCAGGCACAGCTCTCTAGTGTGCAGGAAAATCCAGCTAAGACATCTAAGACTGCCTGTTTCCAGAAGTCAAATGGCTGGGTGGGGAATCCAGGTGCAGCCTGGTTTCAGGCACTGCTGGTGCAGGTCCTGAACATCCCTCAGTCCTTTGGTCCAAGCAGCTCTCCATGCAACAAAGGATGGCCAAACTGGAATTCAGATGGTGAATAAAGTGGACTGATTTGTGGTTTTAATAAAAAGGAGTTTCAGGAGAGCTAGGGTCAAACTGGGGTGGAGGATCAGGGATGTGAAATAAAAGGCAAACTCACCTGAACCTTAGAAATCTCCACCATGTTACAAACAGCTCTTGTATTAGGACAACATTTCATTTTCCTTTCCAAGTCCTCACCATGCTGTTTGCTGGATCCTCCTGGCTGTGCCATGATGGGAAATAGGGGAGCAGAGACACAGGCTGTGGGCACCGTGCAGCTTTGCCATCCCCACGCTGCCTCCTCCCACAAGTGAGCCCACAGACCAGGCTGCTGGGGCTTTCACTTCCATGGAAAAAGTTTGTCTCCTTCTTTTTCCAAGGAAGCTGTAAAAAAATACAATTCTCACAAAATACTTGTTAGTAATAGGCAACTACCACATGCCAAAAATTACAATAATAAATTTAATCCTATTTCTATTCTCTGGCTAAAGATGCAGCACGCATTGCTGCTGCCTGCTCTAAAAATAGATATTTTTACCATCTAAGGACCAACCTCTGTTCTCAGATACTCAAGAGCAACACTACTCCCAAACAACTCCTGACCTGCTGAAGAGCAGTATTGCAACACTTCTGGGAAGCAGAGAACAGCACCTAAAGTGGCTTTGCCAAGTTTTGACCCTCTAATAGATGAAAAAAGGCAGAGCTCAGAATAAATCTCTGAGCTAGTCCATGCCTGAAGCTGCTGGGCTGGAAAGTGAGGGAGATACAAGGGGGAGACTTTCCTCATGCCTCTATGGTGCATAAAGTTGAGACAGGGATGACGAAGCCAGACCAAACCTGGCCAAGTTTTGGTGTGCCTACAGCCCCTGGAGCAGGCTGGGAGGCACTTGGCTCCTAGAGCCTCTCTACAGGAGGGGCTCACTGATGTGCTGAACTGAAAAGGGTGATGGATATCTCCAGCCATGGCCATCCCAAAAAACATGCCCCAATCCCCAGCATTAAGTAATGCACCGTCAGAGGGACGGACGCGGGAATGTGCAAGGCTGGGACACAGGAGAGGGTTAAAAATTAGCAGCTCCATGGAAACCTGTCTGTGTATCTATTAATGGTTAGCCCCAAGGAAAGCCTGCTCATTAAAAGGTCTTGCCTCTGGTGTGCCTCATCCTGCAACTGCAAAGAGCCAGCCCCATCTTGTGGCCAGGGGCTCGGTGGCAGAGAGGAACGAGAGGGAGGAAGGTTTGGAGTTGAAAAACATCCTGCCTTCCTGCACACCTTGCCTCACATAAACTGGCCCCACTTTGGTTAGCACTCCGGGAGAGCCGCAAAAGCCAGGAGAAAATGCTGGATGCATCTGGCAGGGGGTTTCCTATAAACGGAGAGCCCAAAGAGATTTCTTTGTAAGCCTGCATGTAGGGGAAACATCGTTAAATACAATCTAAAATGGCAGCAGGTAGAGCCAACTAGGCTTGGCTCCACTCAAATCTCTGGCAAAATTCCCACTGAATGGACTAAAAGTTCCAGTCTTAACCACCTTGATGAGCACAGTACTCTGGAGGTACAAAAGGGTTTCCAAGGAATTCACCTGGATCTGTGCAGTTTGGACCTCACAATGCCCCGTGCAGCTTTTTCAAATCACAGCTGACACCTGGCTATTTAATCACTACCTGAAATAAATCACTAGACTCCGGTTTCTTGCTTATTTTTCTGGCAAGTGGGTTTTGCCCAGCATGAGCTTGCTGCAGAATCTGTTCACACCAATCTTGGAAGGACAAAACAGTTGAGAAATGCTAAAGAGCCTTACAAGGAAAGACCTTGCTTT